CATATGTTGCAGAATAATATGTAATGACGAGCATATAGACTCCTCCTTTTCTTTTGATTTTTTTCACATACCATAATTAGGGATAATAACTGTCAAGATTCACTAGGCTCAGTGCTCTTTAACCGTTTTTGTCACACCTTACCTTGAAGTTTTGAACAAGTGCCAGTCGTTATCAAATCATACCTAACGCTTTCAGCCCCACTGAAATGCTGACAAATTCAATCTCAATTCCAAAGCTCCGTTCCACGCTTGAAAATATGTCGGTCGTTATCTCTACAAATGGTCATACATATCTCGAAAATCTTTCCACTTAATCACCATTATTATTAGTACGTCATTAAATAAGGACAATTGATCGTCCTCAACTGTAAAAGCCGATAAATCAATCTCCCATTAATTAATTGTCCTTAGTGCACGATAAGCCTGTGGCAGTTCAGGATGTTCTAGTTCAAAGTGAACCAATAAAATCAATTCTAAAATCCAGTGTCTGCAAGGAACTTGAGTAGCAGTGGAACGTGGCAAAAATAATTTTTTTCGTATTAAACTGAAAATGAAACATTCATAAAAATCTAAAAATTAAAATGTGAAAACCTTTTCAATTTTCTATTTTCTGGGTCGCCGTCCGTTGTGTTGGGATTTACCTGCGAAATAATTCAAATAGAACTATACAGATTTTTCATTAAAATTTAGCATAATTTTTATTATCATACATTTTTTATTACAAGGACAATATCTTTAATGTTAGCCGTGTCATTTATACTTTGCCTTAATAAAGCGCACAGTTCTAATCCGCTTGGAATTGTTAATCGCTAGGTTTTATGTTCCTTTGTGCGTTTTTCGTTGATGGGTTTTAATCTCTCTTGTGAAAATTAGGCTTTTTTCTTTTGAGTGTACTTGAATTCCTTAAGTTTTAAATGGATAATGAAGCTGGTCTATAATGTTTTCAATGAATGTATGTTAAATTAGTATCCACTAACTAGTCAAACACATGTAAATGGTTATTCATAACCCATTATTTATATATAACGCAAATAACATTCACTAACCAGTCAACTATTTCATGGCTTTGAGTAGCCAATACGAATGACCGAATGAAAAGTTTTCTTTTCTGGCACCACTTTAGCGTCAAAATGGATTTAAATGCAACACAAATACATTCTTTCCATTTATAAATTCTTTCCATAATTAATAAAATTAATTCCTTTTTTTTTCTTTCCATTCATAATCTAGAAGCCGCGAAGAGATGTCAAGTTTAGCAAGAACCAATGCATTCCGATGACACGACTGATTCGAGGATGTGAATACAATAATTTAGGGGCTACATTTTATTATATTAATTAATATACATCATTTATATTTGTTTACATAAATACTGTAGGATAAATGATGACCATGCAGCAAATTATATCATGAAAATAAAGGCTCTGATAAGCACAGTTGCCAGGACTAGAAATAGACTTTATCTGCACCATAGATTAGTATCACAAATATTATTCTATTTATGCATTGCTTTGCCGAGTGCTGATCTAATCAAGAACATCCTCGACCTTATCAAATTTAATGATATCTATTCCTTGCTAAGTAGTAATGTACACTTCAGGGGCTACAGAACACACACATTAAGCAGTAAACAGTTCTACAGGATACGTGGGAACTCATCGAGTTCATACCAGCCACGCATCGTACGTGCAGTGAATTGTGCTCTATTTATAAGTCCGCTGAAATATTTTTGAACTTATCTTATTAAACCTTTACTTTATTAAAGCTCTACAACACGTATGACATCGGGAACTTCTCCTCTACTTAAAGCTGATCTACATTTTCCTCTATATGCTTCCTGTACAACACAAGTAACATGTATAATACTTAAAAGAAAAAACAGTTCGATCATTTTGCATTTCATTTACAGCAGTGAATCTACGTCACATAATATCATTTGCAGAGTAAAATTGCCTCTCAATGAACAGAGTTTGAACACCTGCTTTAATAAAGCACAACGGAAAAAGCTTTGTTTGACTGTTATGTAAACATTAATTGGGTCAAAGATGAACACAACCAGAGCTTACAACTGCCCAGAGGAAACGGCACGGGTCGGGCTCTGAGCCGCATCGTCTACTCCTCAGTTGCTCAAAAATAAAAACACATAACGATAATAGCCTTTTTAGACGACAAAGTTTATGCAGAACTTGCTCTGTTCTTTGCAATTTAAATACACGATTTTTATAACATTATTGTACAACAAAACTATAAGGTCATTTTCTTAAGCTTAACCACCATGCATCGAGTGTCCTCTTCAGACAGAAGTCAAATATTATTTATTTTTCTGACCTGGCAAAGAGGCTGATTCATGTTTATTCGGTGATAAGTGTTTACTCCTGAGAATTTGAAGACGAAATTTAAGTATTTTGTGCATGAATTTGATTTTGTTAAAACATTCGCCATTCAACTAGAACGAAACCAAAAGCAGAGCGCAATACCAAATATATCTTAAATTTAACTTGATGATCAAGTAACTTTCGTCTCTTGCTGACCAATGCAGTAGCCGCAAAACGCAACACTTTCTTTAGGTCAAATGACACCACGTTTCACCAGACTAAACTCTCAAACTTTATGGGTACTAACCCCAACGTAGACATATGCTGAAATCCTGCTGTCTCATGATCTCAGCAGCACTAGAGTGCACACGATTAAACATCCATGCTTTAAACACATTAAACATCCATAAACATTTTCCACATCACGGTGCTGTCGAAATAATTCATTTATATTTCAGCACCTGACTTCACACAAGCTAATGCATCTATAACATCTCCATGAGTCTGCCTGACCATAAAAATATAAAACAACGGCATAAAAATGTCGTATGAAGAAAATATTCTTATCAACGTAAAGAGTTATGGACACACTTTTTTATTAAAATATATAGTAAAGAAGCATTATCACTGTGTCAGAAAATATTTTAACGTTCCCAGAGCTCGAAACCTGCTTATTTGACCTCGTAGCAGATACATGGCCAAAATACCGAGCTCATACAATACTTTTCACCAGCCTTAATAGTCGTAAGGCTCACATGAGGTCCTTTTTACGACCGTAAACCCGAGGGGCTCCATTTCTGAGCCCTCCGAAGTAAATGTTGATGCTTCGTGCGTTCGATTGGCTCTCAAGAAGAGGGGACTATACAGGCTAAAACCTAAACAAAGTGAACAATGCTTATATTTTTGATAAAAATAATAGGTGACGTAGCTTTTATACGAAGGCAACTTGCCGACTTGTGATTTACATGTCTGACAATTTAAATTGAAACGTATCGTCGACAAGCGCTTCTGATATTTTTAATCATAATGAATTCACTTGTCAGATGTGCCTGGTGAGAATTCATTGCCTATTCAAACCTTGGCCTTGTTGCGTGGGTCAAAACGAGCAAGGAACTCCATCTTGATTACTTAAACACGAGGAAGCTCGCTGTAATTACCGCATTCAATGGTGTGAAGGAAAAATTATTCTCTTGGGCGACTCCGCCATGATAAATAGAGCTCACGTGTTATATTTGCGTACCTAGATACATGTGAGAACGTGATTTTATGCATTGATAATTCCGTTTATCAAATAATCTGTAGATGTATTGATTTGTATAATGAAACACGCACGCACGCTTGCATTGCATGAGCCATGCACCGCGCTTCTGCCATTGCAAGAGCCATGCACCGCACTTCAGCCACTGCAAGAGCCATGCACCGCACTTCAGCCATACCGCACTTCGGCCACTGCAAGAGCCATGCACCGCACTTCAGCCACTGCAAGAGCCATGCACCGCACTTCAGCCACTGCAAGAGCCATGCACCGCACTTCAGCCAGTGCAAGAGCCATGCACCGCACTTCAGCCACTGCAAGAGCCATGCACCGCACTTCAGCCACTGCAAGAGCCATGCACCGCACATCAGCTACTGCTGAAACCATGCACGGCGCTTCAGCCACTGCTGAAACCATGCACCGCGCTTCAGCTACTGCTGGAGCCATGCACCGTTCTTCAGCCACTACCAGAGCCATGCACCGCGTTTCAGCCACTGCTAGAGCCATGCACCGCGCTTCAGCCACTGCCAGAGCCATGCACCGCGCTTCAGCCACTGCTAGAGCCTTGCACCGAGCTTTTGCTATGCCATGCAAGACCGACTATGTCGCCCTGAAGGACTGATTAAGCAACCCTGGAGGCCAGATTCAGCCACCGATTAGGAACGATTCAGTCCCTCTGCAGGACAGATCGAACAAATTTGCAGTAAAGATTCAGCCGTCGAGCATGACAGATTTAACCACCGAGCAGGAACGATTCAGCCACCCTGAGAACAGATTCAGCTACGGTACAGCCCACTAACTCATTTACATTCTTGTATACCACCGTGTCGTAATGTAATATTTACAGGCTATTCTTATACGTATACCCGTGTACGCTAGGTTCTTGTGTTCACTGAAATTTTTATTTGCTTGTGCGTTATTACAAGCCATTTTTATACCCGTCTGCTTTGGGATCTTGGGCTTACTGAATTTCTTAGCTCCATACATTATTCCGGTTTACTTCCTGTTAAGGAAGTAATAGGTTTACTTGTGCTACTCACATGTAGTTTGCAACTGACAGCAATATATATAACTAACTTCTCGTTCGTAAGATTCCGAAGAAATAATCTGTGAAACTAAGATGCTTCAAATGTACATAGGATTTGACTTACTAATTGAAGTATGTGAATTTTTTGTAAGGTCACTATACCAAATTTTTAAAATGTGGGTATGTAAAATAATAAGCTTTTACACCGTGTGAAAACCTGCTACGCATAAAATTAACAAAACGGTAGACAATATATACGAATTTCAAATTCTATATATGATAACATTTTTAGGAAACTTTAACAAATCATTTAAATTGCGATATTTGTAATCATATTTATAAATATTACGTTAAAACATCAAACATTATCGAAAATCACTCATCTTAAATAATATCATTTAAATAAAGTTTCACCTGTACATCATTCATGATTGTGAAAGTCCTGAATCTAAAGTAGATCCAAAAAACATATATGCTTTGATATTTACAAACACCTTTACTCCTCAGAAGCGAAATACTATAGTGTTTGCTTATAATAAATATCACACTATTCCACTTGCAATTTTTACGTTCGAAACTTTGCAAATGATAGATACAAATCAAACATTACAAAGTCGTTTCAGTAAATAGTCTTAGTTGTTTATCAGTGCTGCTAACGCCAGTCAAGGATTCAGCGTCAATTGACTCGTTATAATCACCGAAATGGACGGTGGGCGCTAAACTGGCGGCTTTAGCACTGCTTTTGTCTTCGTGGGTCACAGCCACAATAGTTTGCACGGCATCGGAGGAAGGAGACGGAGGCATTTTGAGAATTGATATTGGGTTAGACGTCGCGATGTCAACGGCCTCTACGATTTGTGGAACATTGTGATCCGTTGGAGACGTATGACCTGGCAGACGTCCTGATGAAGATCGTCGTCGTGACGATAGTCGCCCCCGAATCCTCTTCCTTACTCAGAGAACCGTCTCACTCGTCCTGTGACCGTTCACGGTTGAGTAGCGAGAAGAGTCCTCGCGAGCGAGTCGTTTCGATCCCAACCGATTCAGGAACAAAACTGCGAAAGTTTCACGGAATTGACGTGACATGCTGCAGTAAACGGCAAAGTTCAGAGGGTATGAGCAGATGATGAAGAAATTAGATAGTGCAATATATTTATATATTGAGGCGTAATCCTCAGAAGATAAAACTTCTACGCCAGAGTTAGTGAGGATGTGCAGGAATGTCAAGATGGCGAGCGGGATCTCAGTGACGGTTGTGATAGAAACAACCACAAGCAACATCATCGTGGTACAGTTACGCTCTCTTGCCTTCTTGTATTCGCTTTTGCGATTTTCTTGCAATAGCCTGTTCCTTGATTTTTGTGCTTGTCTCACTGTTTGATAGAGGAGCCAATTAAAAAGAAGCAATAATGCGCATGGCAATAGATGAACAAAGATTACTCGCAACCAGAAATAGATTGGGTAGTAGACAGCCACTCCAACTTCATTCACCCATTTTGCGGTGCATATATAGCAAACCGGAGTCCCGCCATGCACAAGTGGGTTTAACTCGTAACTGAAATCAAGGAATTTTGGAAGCTGATGAATGAGAGCAGCAAAAAATATACTGATGATTATTATCACAACGCGAGGCTGTGTGCAAAATACATGCGCAGTGGGCGAATGACAAATGTAAATGTATCGCTGAGCGGCTAAGGCAAGAGATAACCATATGCTGGCTGTATGGAAAAGGGTCGGTAGCACATCACTGAGATAAGTCCATGCGTAACACGCCACCGAGTTCGTCAGTAATGTCTTCTGATAGTGTCCTAGTGTGTACATGTAGAAGAAGACAGGAGACGGCACGACGAGCGTAAACAAATCGGCTAGCGAGATCGCCATCAAGATTGTGTTCGACGGAGTCTTCATGTTTCTCTGGCTAAGTACAGCCACAATAAGCGTGTTGGCTGTGGTGGTTGTGATCAGCAACACTGGCATGGCATACCCGTAGAGAGGGACCTTCAAGTCTGAGCCCTCCATGAGGTTCAGGAGTTCGCAACCATTGTGGCTGTACTCGAGCGAAACGTTGCGTGACATGTTACTGCCAGTAGAAAAGTTTATCCCGACGTCGATTGCCTCCATGGCTTCTAGAATTCTTACTTCACTTTATCAAATTGGTTGACCGAGCTATCATGATAGCTTCATTTACAGGTTACTATAAAACCAATCATGAGACCACCGTGCAGCAGATCCGCATATAATAATCGCATAGTTATACTTAAAATCGTTTTGAAATATTCCTTCGAATCTGTCTTAATATGTTGAAAGTTCTACCAAATTCCTCCAAAGTAAATAGATTTAGATGATAAAGACCGGCCGCAGCCTCACAAGTGACGCTAAGTCGGAGCGACCGCGTCTAACGCTCTCATCTGCAACGGTTGGAGCTCCACTGAGCCAGCTCCAGAAAATATCGGCCATTAAAAGTGAATTTTTCTACCTCACAGGAGATGATCCGCGCTTTATTGCCGACAGCTGCTGCACTGATCCTTCTTCTGTGCGCGATCCCATGCTATGTCTTCGTGTACGCAATGTTACATGTTCGTGTCTTCCACTTTGCAAACGAATGGTGTATGGTGGTCAATTTTAAAGTCAATTTTATAGTATCATTTTACTTTTACAAAAAACAATAGTCTCACAGGAGCCGGTTATATTTTATTGGGTTTTTTAGCTACGTATTTCTTTTTTATTTAAAAAAAATCACGAAATTGATGAAGATTTGGTTACGCATTATTTATGAATGAATAATAATATGCGTTTAAAAATTACTTTTTAAATACAACACTTCCAAAGAATCCAGTGTCTCCGATGTTACACATGTACAATGAATTTCTAATTTTCTTGCTTATGCCTAAAGTGCCCGGTTCATTAACTCGCGAGCAATAGTGGTGAGTGGCAGGTGCAATTGGACGTGTCGATCGGGGACAGATGCCGGCTAACTCCACGGACATTGCTCCTGAGAGTTAACTTACTCGTGGTATTTTCTTGTGAAACAACTTCCGTGATTGAATTTTTTACGGAGGAAACGCCTATGCGATATTGGCACAGTTATCAATACAAATTTCTGGCCTAGTTGTGACCCTTTTTTAGAATTTACATTTCGACAGTTTTAATTGCTTCTGCATGGACCCATTCACGAGCCAAAAATTCTCAACCTTAATTGGCCAACTGACAAGTGCTCTCCTGTGCAACGATAGTGAAGAAAAAATAGTTTTTTTTAGCTCGCCTTCTTGGAGAGCATCGACCAGCTAGCTAAGTCTCTAATTGGACAAGGAATAAAAAGATCATTTACAAGAACTTCCGATCTTCTGACGAAGCTATTTGAAGTGTTTTACGCTAACCATTGACAAACACTATCTAATTTCTGAGTAGTTAGTCAACTCTAGTGAGATTATCCTGTAATATTTGCTATATTTTAGAGGAAAATGCTATTCTTCATTTTAAAGTTTTCCAAAATTTCGAACGATAAAATTTTCACGTTAAAATTAAACGTTTGAATTATTAACGTAACGTTCACGTTAAAAATTTCTATTCATGTTAAAATTTTTCGATTTCATTTCTCTTTCCTGCACTTGGCATGTCTTCCTCTGGCAGCATGCAGAGACCCCTTAGATAACATGCGACTACCTCCGGCCTGGCAAGACAGGCTCATTTTTCAGCCAACATTTGCCCTGGGATGATAAGAGTTGCCCGAGATCACCGCAGCCTCCACACACTGATTGATAGCCCACGCCGTGCTGTTTACTGATTAATCGTTCCATAGCGTGCTGCTTTAACCATTCATTGCACATGCCGTGTTGTTTACTGATTAATCGTTCCATAGCGTGCTGCTTTAACCATTCATTGCACATGCCGTGTTGTTTACTAATTAATCGTTCCCTGTCGTGCTGCTCTTACCATTCATGGCACACGCCGTGCTGCTTGCTCATTAATCGTTCCCTGTCGTGCTGCCTTGTCCATTGATATGGCACGCGGCGTGCTGCTTGCAGATTTAACCGCTTATTTCGGTGTTGCCTTGACTAATGATGACACACGCCATCCTGTTTGCTGATCAATCGTTCCATGTCGCGCTGCCTTGATCACTGATGGCACGTGTCGTGCTGCCAACTGATCCATATCGTGCTGCTATGACAATTGATATGGCACGAGTCGTGCTGCTTGCTGATTAACCGTTCATTGTCGTGTTGCCTTGACTATTAATGATACACGCCGTGCTGATTGCTGATCAATCATTTCATGCCGTGCTGCCTTGATCACTGATATGGCTCGCCATGCTACTTGCAGATTAACCGTTCTTTGTGGTGCTGCCTTGACCATTGATGGCAGGCGCATTGTTGTTAGTGAATTAATCGTTCTAGCCGTGCTAACACGATTACTTAAGGCCCAAGCCGTGCTTCTTGCTGATCAATCCTTCATCTTACTGTCTCAGCTGCCAGAAGCACAATACCTAAGCTGCTTGTTGCTGCTGATTGACAATATTCAGTGGCATGCACGTCGAAGCCGCCCTGATTTCTTAATTGTCGACGGTAATTGCTGCAACTCTCAATTAATTCTAGTTCGTGAACCCTTAATTGCGGAAGATTTTAATGATTTCTATCTTTGCGGATTAGCAAAAGATAGCGTTTTCTTTAATGTTATTCAAGCTAGTGTTGAGATAATTTTCGTAGCCTATATATTTTTTGAGCTTGATTTACGCATTTTGGATAGTTATTATGTCATTAGTCTACATGAATCGCTAGTTGGCCAAAAATTCCGGAACGCTTTCAATGAAAGTAAAGCTGGTGAATTTACATGGCGCTTTGTTTCATTTTAGAGTTTTATAATAGTTTTTTTAATGCTGTATTATATATTTGTCGAAAGTTAACGAACTGTAATTTACGTACTACTTTTTTTCTGTTGACCAAATAGAGATTTTTTGTTATCATATGATAAATCTTTTTTAATAAAGGGTGAGTTTCAAAAGCACGCCTATTTTTTTCTGCTTGGAAGGGTAAGGTAACGTTGTGACTTATGTACCACAAACGTGTAATTTGTCGTAAGTTTTAACAAAAACTTGAACCGTCATTCGTTTACCGTCTAAAAGCTTTCATTCTAACAAGTTCTTGGTATTCCGTTCTTTCAAATTGTAGACATCAACTTACAACTTCGGCGACTTTATTGAAAGTTTAGTGTTGCACCATTACGTTGCTGCTTGGCTGTCAATAGCATTCAAACTTGCATAGGAGTGAGACTTACGCAGGGCTGCACGAAAGCAAGGGGCGTTTGTTCAAGTTCCGCAAGACGCGTTAAATGCGCGTATTATTCAAGTATCGAGATGTAATTGATCGTGAATCTGCCATTAACATAAGTCATTTTCTGGTCCCTGAGGATATGCCGAGGATTTTCATTTATTGTGGCTTTAAGTTACAGCAAATTTGCCCATGATTGTTAGCACTTGCTAAAATTGTCCACGAAAAGTTTATGAGATCAGTCTACAAGCAAATCTGGCTATTCTAAAATATGGATGACGTTTTTCCATAATAGGTTATTTATTATGGGCACTGGGCATGGACTTGACTCATAAACAGTGTTAACATATGTACTGAGCGGTTCAAAGCAGCTGGAGTAACTACAAGAATAGAAAACTTGAAACGCTCTTATTTCTGAGCCACCGGGCTTAGCGAGGATAGCGGCTTTATTGCGATTCGTTGATTAATTTATCTATTATTCTGCCTGGAACCGATAAATCCGAGAGGAGCAATCGCGGTTATTACTTTGATGAAGAATTCTGCGTAGGAAGATCAAGTTTCAGACTCGATTATAATTATACACAATTGTGAGAAGTTAACAAGGAACGTTTTTCAGACACGTTTTTTTTGGTAGTGATAGCAATGCGAACTGCATCATATGTGTTTTGATTCCGCCTTTTATAAATGTTGATATAATAATTTAATTGAAACCCTGGGAGAAAATCTGTATCTTGAAAAGTCTCAGCCTCATGTTATACGCTTCAGTTCCTGTTTTTCCGATAAAACCTTGATGACCCGTGCTGCCTCGCTGTGTTTGCAGCCGCCTCATGAGGCGCTGCTGCGGGCCACTCGTGTCAACAGCGGCCTAAATGCGGACCTGGGCTGGGGATCTGGCTGACTTTAGCGCAAGTGTTGGCCTTCGTTGTCAACGTTCTCAAGATAATCTCTACAAGTTTAACATTATCTTTTATGAAAATACAACCACGGGATGGTACCGATGAATTATTTGTTAAGGTACATATTTTTTCCATAAATTTTATCTACGCGAATCTTTGATGGTAACTTTGGACAATATAATTAGTGAGATACGTATATAGCAGTTTTCTTCATTGTTGTACATTTTTCACTGAATACTGTCCCGATAACAACTCATAGTCCCAAATTAAGCGATAAAATATGCTTGCGAAATTTGAACCCTCCAAATAATTAAATATTTGTTGAGTAATTTTCAGCAGCTGGACGCACCGGTAAGTTTTTACTTGCACTTGAGTTTCATCCTTCATTTCCCGACTCTTTAAGATCGTTCAATAAGCGTATATATTGCCTGGCTCGTAATAGCACATCAAAGAGCCCCGTACAAACACCGATCAGCAATGCACGGGCAACTGGCCTTGGATTTTACGACGCCCCTCCTTAACTTTACGTGTCTGAAGGTCCTGATTTATTAAAGACTAAGCTTCGATTATCGCCGGCGTAGGAGCTGCAATTCAACACCTCGGCAGGATCTTGTGACTGATGACTTGCTGGCTTTGTTATCCTCGAATATTGAACCCAAAACTTGCAGTGCTGACGTTGAATTCTCTAAATGAATGTGCGCTCGAGAATTATGGCATGACGTCGTTTTCAACATATTGCGGAAAGTGCGTTTTAAGCCTATATTAAGTGTTGGGAAGAAGTGACTTTGAAGAACATCACATTAAAACTGATAAATATTACTTTCTAATTTTACTGCATGATATGTCATCGCTGACATCAAAAGATATTTAAATCTGTCTAAGTTCTTCGACCACTTATGTACAAAGTGATGTTTTTGGGGTTTATATTGCAATGCAGGCGACTTAATTATACAGAGTGCAAACAATGCCTTCCCGTCCTAATGCGAATTTAGGCCTCAGTTAATCTCATGTGAGTGATCTGCAGAAGCAAACCCACTTGATTATA